ACATTAACTGTAATACCATAGTATGTGTTATGTATCAATTTTTTTATTACGTAACCAATCTGAATTAAATTGTGACTACTCAACTCTTAGTTTTCACCTCACATTTTTGTTTAAAGTCACTTTGCACATGCATTTGTGTAAGAATAGTTCACCTTTATGTGGTTGTATTTAACCAAAAGAAATTGTCAAACATGATTTTTGTTGACTTACCACTTCAGTATTGGTGGCATTATATTGTTTCATTGTCTTTTCTTGTACATTTCCAATAGCAGCATCAGCAAACAGAGCCATCGATATCAACACAACACCTATGAATAAAAACATTAACACAATAATTATAAATAACCTACAACTATGATTGGAGTTTTAATTACTACCGTATTTCACTGATAAAATATACATTCTTTCACAAGGCTTATAATTGAAGATATCATGAGCACATTTTTAGATCATTGTTTAATATGTAGCAACTGCATTTATTTACGGGTACCTAAAAAGCTAGTGAGTTTTTGCTGTTTTGATCAAGTCTGCGTGTGCTAACGATTCTTTTGTTTTAATACAATAAATGCAATTCGTTAACCTAGCAATAAATAATGTTTTCAGTGCTGAATATACGATGGTGACGAGAGAAAGAACTTGAAGTGTAACTGAATTGGGCCAATTGACTTTTTTTGTGTGCAAAAATTATTTATAAACAACATTATGAAAAAAGTCAGATGAAAAGGGTATATAAATTGGGTAAACAGTCAATGAAATTCCAAAATCTGGCCACGCCCCCCTCTCCCGTCATCTTTGAGATTTTTCAGCATTACGAGTGTTGGCGAAATGGCGCCACCAACGGAACCATAAAGCAGGAGATAGCCAGCAGACAGGGGAGCGCTGTGTTGTTGGCAGGTGTAGCAACACACATAGCGATCGCGCAAGTCTTTATGCGTTCCCAAAAGATTCGAATTTATGACATCAGTGGACCAAAGCCGTCAAGAACACCAGGAAATATTGGGATGGACCTTTTCTTTATAACGTTATCTGTAGTGCCCATTTTACGCCCAAATCATTTATCAGTACAGTTCATTTGTTTTCGATATTCGTCCTACCGGAAATAGAACATGCGATCTATCGGACGCACACAAATTTACATTTTAGAGTGCAGATTTTCTAACATTACCGATACATTGTTCAGGTGAGTTTAATAACAACGTTAAGATTTTCGGTCACGATGTTCAAACTCTGTGTCTGTGCCTGAATCGTCACGGTCATTTTGTGGTCACCCACATCACTTTTCTCGCAGTTTCAAACCTGCTATATGTACAGTTAATGTATTGATTATTATAGTATATATCTTTTATACTCTTTTAAGGAATGCTTGAATCCCAGATTAATTTTAAACTTGTTTTTTAAATCAGATTAAGGGGCTTCAAATAAACAGCGATGTATGTAACCTAGGTGACAAGGTCTCTGATATTGGTATGGCTCATCAAATAAACACACCATATGACTTTGAAGTGAAGACATGCAATAAGAGACTCTCCTGAATAGATGTGATGTAGCATTGGTCAATTCTACTTATAACAGATAACTTAATACAAAAAATCATACCTATGTGGTCAAAATTGGGTGATACTTTGACATCCGCTAATGTAAACAGTATGAGACCAATACTCATGCATAATGCAGCTACAACATCTATAATACCATACCGTTTACCTGTAACCAAGAAAACAGACCAGTATTAAGGAAAGACACAAATATTCATGTTATGGGTGAAAATATTATCCCCTGTCTTATTGGTTAAAGAATTGTTTTAATTATTTAATTGTTTGAAATTATGTTGTAAAAATTACAACAAAATTAATGAGTGGTATGGGGGTTGGTAGTCATGTGTGTGAAACAGCTTAGTGACTCAACCAACCACAACATACAAAGTAAAACAGCTTACCTTGTATAAGGACACCACCAAGCACAACATACAAAGTAAAACAGCTTACCTTGTATAAGGACA